GAGAAGAAGAGAGAAACAATATACCTAAAAGATTATCTTGGTTCTTTGAAGCTCGCCTCATATTAGATGCGTTAGGACCACCTTTTTGTGTACTATTTAGGGCACCCTCACCTTTAGTATACGACATTTACCTCCTAATAAGGGAAAATTATAACCAATGGGTCTTAATCGCCTCCACCGTCGGTATTTAAACTCATGCTAGATAATTTTTCCCCCAATAGGAGAGAACTGGAGCCTACGTAAGAGTATCAGGTCTAAATTGCCTCCACTGTCGGTATTTAGACTCTTGCCGAACAGTTTTTATCCCAATGAGAGTGAACTGGAGTTTGCGTTAGAGTATCGGGTTTTGATCTCCTCCACCGTCGGTATTTAGACTCTTGCCAAAGAATTTCCCCCCCAATGGAAGTTAACTGGAGCATGCGTAAGAGAACGGGGTCTTGATCGCCTCTGTCGCCAGTATTTAAACTTTTGCCAGACATTTTTTCCCATAATGAGAGTGAACTAAATCCTACGTAAGAGTACCGGACCTTGATCGCCACCTCCAATATTTAAACTCTTGCCAGATAATTTTTTTGCCAATGGGAGTGAACTGGAGCCTACGTAAGAGTACCGAGCCTTGATAGCCGCCTCTGGTATTTAATCTCTCGTCGGATAATTTTTCCCCCGTTGGGAGTGAACTGGTGTCTGCTTAAGAGTAACAAGTCTTGATAGCCGCTGCTAAAATTTTTTTATTTTTTGCATGTCCGACATCCCCTAAATTTGTTGGAGAAATTTTGGGACCGACTAAAGAGAAGTAGTGTCTTCTCCCTAGCTCCTAAGGGGTGTATTTATAGTTCTTTAAAGGAGGTTTGGAGAGCAATTTTTTGAATTTTTATTAATTTTCATAATTTCTTAATGCCCAAAAATTAACTAATATCTTATTATTGAAAAAAATGAAAGAGGGAATAAATATTCAGGAAATAAATAGCTATTAATTTAAAATTAAAAAAATTATAGGAAATTAATTATTGAAAATATGAAAGAGGAAATAAAGAGAAATTCATTTAAAATTTTAAAAAAATATAGGAAATTAATTATTTCCATTCAAGAAAAGATTATGGATTTTTTAAAGATTTTTTAATTTTTTTTTAACTCAAAAATATTATTTTTCTATTAAAGGTTTAATTAATTATTTAAATTAATTTAATTAAAAAAAGTTAAATCATCGCCTCCTTGAGGCGGCTACAATTGCCAACTCTTCATGAGTGAACCATTTATATATATATATATATATATATAATTTATTAAATTAATAGTCAAATCAAGCGGCTCGATGAGAAAAATCTAATGAGCCCAAGATCGTTGAAATTTGACATCATTAAGACATTTAAAAAATTGAAAAACACTATAATGGGGGGAATCAGTACGCGCGAGATATCCAATGGAGCACTTCGAACCTGCCCCAATTCTTCTCTGTATTTACGAGGTATACTACTCATGAAAATCTATAAATAGACCACCACTCTCTACATGAAAGAGACCCTTTTGCTGGAGAATGAAGAGACATTTTACTAGAGATTAGAGAGAGCTCTAAAGCTTCAAGAGCTTTAGCACCACCGCCCAGCCGCCGAGAGCCGCCGGACCACCGCCTGGCCACCGTCTGCCAACGGACTTTCCCCCGGTCGACAACCGCCGCTAGACTTCAACCTAACCATCGTTGGACCACCGCCCGACCCCCAACTGTTGTTAGACCTTCCCTCGGGTGAGGACCGATGCCGGACTTCGGCCCGACCTTTGTTGGACCACCACTCGCCTGCTTCCCTACGCTGGGTTTTTGGCCGGCCGACGACAGCCGCTGGACTTCAGCCCGACCATTGTGATACCATCTCCCAGTCGCCGACCTCCGCCGGACATCAGCCCGATTTTCATTAGACCATCGCTGAGTTGCAGTCCTCTGCCAGGCCTTCGCCTTGTTGATGACCACCACCGAACCTATGCTTGGTCCCTAACCGCCGTCGGACTTCAACCCAACCATCGTAGAACCACTGCCTTGCCACCGTCTACTGCAAGACCTTCGCCTTCCCGACGATTGCTTCAGGACTTAAGCCTGACCTTTGTTGGGCCGCCGTCCAACACACGACTGATGCCAGACCTTCACCTGGTAGACAACCGTCGCCTGACTTCAGCCCGTCCTTCATCAGGCCACAACCCGATCGCCCAACCTTCATTGGGTCTTTGCCCAGCTGACGACCACAATCGGACTTCAGCCCGACCTTCGTCGGACTTTCTCCCAGCCGACGACCTTCCGCCGGACTTCAACCCGACCTTTGTCAAGCCACCATCTGGCCAATGATTGATGGCGAATCTTCCCCTGGCTATTGACCTTCATCGGGCCATTGTTCGATCACCGAGCGACTCCAAGCCTTCGCCCGGCCGACGACCACTGCCGGACTTCAACCAGACCTTCGTCGGACCTTCGCCCGACCGACGACCTTCGTCGAACTTAAGTCTGACCTTCTTCGGGCCACCGTCTGGCCTATGACCGATGCTGGACCATCGCCCTGCCGCCGACCACCACCAGACTTTAGCCCAATCTTTGACGGGCCCTTGCCAGGCCACTGACCAATGTCAGACCTTTGCCCGGTTGACGACCACCACTGAATTTATACCCTACCTTTGATAGACCACCGCCAAGCCGACGACTGTCGCCAGACCTTCACTTGGTTGAAGATCACTACCGAACTTCACCCCGACCTTCGTCAAACTTCTGCACGACCGTCGCTAGACCTTTGACTAGCTATCCAAATTACTGTAATTTGACCACCTCTAAATCGAGAGACTGGTCAACCCTTGTAATTCACTCAAGTTTAGTGAAATCTTTTCACTTGGGCAAGGGCCCGTGGTTTTTTGCTCCTCAGACCTTTTATGTAAAAAACAATCGGGTGTTTTACTTCTCTCTTTTTGTTTGTGTGCTGGATCTCCGTGCATCACTAAGACGAAAAGTTTACTCACTCTACTGCCACGAATCTTTCAGCCCACAATTACCATATAGTTGATTGCTAAAGCTCTCAACTAATAAAAAAAGAAGAGGCACATGCCCGAGCTACTTCCATAAAGTATATTTTCTCTAACTTGGGCTTGACATATCCACTTGCACAATCTTAAGAGTTGGGGCTAGCCTAATTTATGAGAAATTTGAGTTGCCTTTTCAGTTTACTAAGAAATTACTATTATTTCTTTAGCATCTATGAGAACTTGGTTGTTTTGAGGCTAAAAAATTGTCGCATTCAGCGATATAATTTTGCTTCTTGAGAAAGAAAAGAATCTTGAACTCCCCTAAACGACTAATAAAATTATATATCAAATGATCATTATTGTGTACGGCTTCGTCTGAGATAACTTTCTTATTATTTTTTAAAGTACCTTTTAAAAAAAATTTTGGAATTAGAAATTTTTGTAATGAAAATTGCTTTAAAAAATAATAAAAAATTTGTCCCAAATGATGCCTAAAAGATTATAGATACTTTCATGATGAGTACTAATTATATATTCTACTTTAATAAGAAGAATGAAATATTTAGTGTACGTGAATTTAAAATTGTAATAGTAATAATGAGCAATAAAGTTCTGACAATAGGTGATGAAGAAAAAATTTTAAGTTTAATGTAAATATTAAAAATTAATTTGTCAATAATAGAAAGTTAATTTTGGGGAAAATCCTAAACAAAGGATAATTATTAGAAGAGAATGTAAAAATATATTTATTGAATTTTTATTGGTCTACAAAAAGTATATATTTGAGTGTTTTAAAATTATATTTTGTGCATTAATTTGTATAAGTACTGTTGGGAAGAAACTATGCAATGAAACAAGAAAGAGAAAGAAGAAATAGGAAATGAAAATCAACATTTAATATAGAAATAACTAAAATGGGAAAATAAAAACTACTGAATAACACCATATAAAGAACATGACTATAAAATTTGAGAGAAATTGAATAGAAATCTCCCTCTCCCCCCCCCCCCCCCCCCTTTTCATACTTAAATACTCCTATTTTAACTCTCTTCACTTCCTTGTTCATTCTTCACTCAAAACAAACAAAAAGATATTTCTCAATACACCAAAGGATGCAACCCTTTAAGAGAAAAATTGAAAATAAGAAAAGAAATCCACAACCCATCTCCTCACACCCTGACGTTGAAGTTTGCAGTGCGATGACACTTCACACTTTATTTCTGAGTCCAACCTGAGATGTTGAAGAGTTGCAACCTACAAACACCGTAGTGCTATGATCTTTATCCCTAACTAGAGACTAAAACACCATAGTGACACTTAAATTAAGGTCTAAGAGAGATTCCAATTGGTAGACAGAATCTGATTCCACATAAAACTAGCAAGTAACTACCACTTTTTTAGATATTGAATTTGACATAACACAGAGTTACAAGTAGAATAATGCATGTTATTGATAGTTATGTTACTGGTGTGAATGATACTAAGGAGATCTGGAGCCACAGAACTTAGGAGTATCAATCCTAGTATAGTTTGCAATAAGTTTATTTGAACAAAGTTTCATAGAAGATTGAACTTGTCTAAGGCATTGGCTATAGTATTTTCACTAATCCTAATAATACCTTTTGAATTTGCAATCATCACATTAACTCTAACTAGTATTTCACTGCTAATAAATCTGGTTTTCACAACACTTTTTTTACCTATTACAACGATTAAAACTTTTGCAAAATTTCATGTAGCAGTTTAGAAAGCACCACAAAAATCACTGTATTTGCAAGCCCTGCAATTGGCTTCAGAGTTCTCTTATAGTGTTTGTTACCTCAAATGACATTTTTAATATCCTTACAATTTTAGAAAAAAATAATATTTATACTAGAAAAATAAAGCAAAAAACTCAACAAGTTAACCACTTTGATTTTTTATAACAACCACTTGAACAAAAATAGATGTAACAACCACTTTAATGTTAACATCTAGATAAAGAACCAAAAAGAAGGAAAAGATACCTTGTATCCCGTCAGATCCACATATCCCGCCACAAAAAAAAACCCTCCGCAAAACTCGCAAGGAGTCCTGCTATGTCACTGTTCATCTGGCGCCATTCCGGGATTTCAGCCTAAATCTCGCAACAGCTCCTCGATCCTCACCTTCTTTACATCATTAAAAGCCAAGCGCGTGAAGCCTTTAGGGCTTCTTCCTTTTTTTGCGAACCACGCGAGAACTTCACTCAGCTCCCTTCTTCCTCTGAAGCTCACATCGCTGCTGCCTTCTCTCTTCGACCCCTTCCCCAATCTTTTGGCCCACACATGAAATCAAGAGAGAGAGAGAGAGAGAGAGAGAGAGAGAAGGGGAGGGAGCATTCAACTTATTGGATCTTTTCCCTAGCACCTGAACCCAAACTCTCCTATCCCGAACCTCTTCCGCCCGATGCCTCCTAGGGTCACAAATAAAATTGAACTCCCCATCTAAGTTGGCCAACCCATACGAAGTCGAAGAAGCCCTAGCCCGGTTCCTCTTGCCCGCTGACTTTTCTCTTCTGAAGACCTCCCCTTCTTGTTGGTTCGGAAGTTACGGCATTTTAAGTGGGAAGTAGCGACAAGAGCTGCTCACTATGAAGGTAAAGCCTGCGTGCTTCTTCGGCCAAATCCTATAGACTCAATAAGCAGAGAAAGAAAATTGGGGTATTTAAATTTCTGTGATCGTGCTTAAATGCAAAAATCCTATCCAAATCTTGTGTAAATCCTACAACCTGACGATTCTTTCTGTTTGTTTCATTCTTGATTATAATTATGCTATTATAATTATTATTAATTATAATTATTAATAATTATAATTATTAATAATTAGAATTATTAATAATTATAAGATCGGCTAATTGTAATTTAGAATAATTATAATTATTCTAAACTATGAATAGTTATAATTATTGATGATTATAAATTATAGTTGTTCCCAAAAATAAAAAAGAAAGCAAAAAAAAAAAAAAGAGAGAAAAAGAAAGTAAAGAAAAAGGGTAAAGAATGTGTTGCCTCGATCCACGTGCTAGTATCACCTCGACGTGTGCCGAGGTATAACATCTTAAACTTGGAAGAACCCGCCCTTGGCACTTACAATGGGGCGAATAACTACCCATGCACACACTTCTTAGCACGGTAGGATGAAGTTTGTTCTGGTGCTTCTTGCGAGGCGGATAATCCCCCCTAAAGTCCTTTTTCGATGTTCATAGCATGCCAAGGGACCACCCATGCATGCTTTTCTTTGCGTGGTGTGAGGAAACTTGATGCGGTAATTACAACAAAGTAAGCAATCCCTGTGTGCACTTTTCTTAGCACGACAGGGCAACTAAAAAATTTTACTTTTTCCAAAAAAAAAAAGCTTCAAAAAAAACCCATGCACTACTTTTTTAGCATGGTGGATAAAAAACAAAAAAAATCACCATTGCAGTGTCTCACAAACACCAACAATGCACGTCTTTCATGACATGGTGGGTAGGAGGCCTCTTATTTTTTCCCCTAAACGAGGGAGTTGTTGGGAGGCTGCCAAAATTTCGTCTAAAATATGACAAGGACTTGGAACAATTTAGGACTTGTGGACTTGCAACAAATTACTTAAGAAGTGAACTGAAACATAAAGATTGCTATAAACTGAAACTTGTACTTTTGACATGAATTGAACATTTGAACTCAAACAAATACTTGATTTAGGCTAAAAATAACTTGAATTTGAACTCGAACTCAGATTTGAACAGAATTTGAACAACATTTAGATGGCAGGGGACATATAACTTGAGCTGGCTACTTGAACTCAAGCAAGAACTTGATTTAGACAACAAGACTTGAACTTTCAGGACCACACGGAATTTAACTTTGGAATCGACAAATATAATATCAAAATGAAAGTACTAAAATCAAAGTGAGAATGTTGATCAACTATAAGCAAGAAAATACATAAAATCTTTAATAAACATTGCAAGTCATCCATAAATGGTGGTAATTAGTATGCAACACTCACAATATTCATGCTAATGAAAAGGATTGGATAGTTGCAATAGGTATAAAGATATGCATGCTCATGGGTAACATGCAAGTGATGAGCTCATAATTGAGTATATGTAAAAAAACATAGAATTTGTATTGAATGACAAAGGATTTTCATTATGGCATGCTCACAAACAATATGGAAAATTCTTCAATCAATATCAAGATGCTATCATGTCAACAAAGATCCAAACTAAATACAAAGGAATACATATGGAATTTGTGGTGAAAAGGAAGATTGCAATGACAATAGAATCTATAAACATCATTTACTCACAAATGATGATGAAGACTCATGCAATCAAATGTACCCAAGCTTGCAAGCAATGAAATTGATAAGGGCATGTAAGAAGATTGTAGTAATCTTTTCTATGTCCACCTAGGGACACTAATGAAGTGGTATAAATAGTATAAGACAATACAACTTTTCCACGAATGAGTATAGAAGACATGTTTATAATCGGTTCATGAAGAATTGTGAAAGAGACATCCTGTCCGTAGCACATTCAAGTTAATTACCAATTATTATGGCAAAGATACTATAACATCTCCATGGTCGATAATTCTCCAACATCAGTCAAATGCACTAGCCCTCTATAAGCAAGGATAGATAATACATAGTTAAGTACAAATATCCAAAGGGTTGTAGAGTACTCGTTATACATACTACATGCTATTTGCAAGTAGAAGCAATTGAGATATGACAAGTGCAAAATATCTACAAGTCATTATAGAAGAGCTATTGTACACCCGATGTGTCATCTGTAGGGTAAATACAGAAGGGAACTGTAGCATGAACGAGCTTTTACAAGATGTCGTAGAAGACCCACTATATACCACATATTATCTACAAGCATCTACAAAAGTAAGGTAGGAGATTAGTTAGTACACTATAATCCACTTTCAGATAGTAACAAGTAGTGTATGATAATCTACCTATATAAGGCAGAAAACAAGTCAATTCAGAAGCTGCTACGCTATGCCACAGAATCTGCAACACTCATACAAGCAGATAGAAGGCATCTATAATCTACTATGCCACGCCACCGAATCTACAACACTCATATAAATGGACAGAAGGCATGTTCAAATTCTTAAATGGAATGTTGCGTGCATTTAAATGACAATTACTTGTACAATTTCAAACATTTTAAAATGCCTCTGCACATGCACTATAGTTTGTATACACATAGGTTCACTAAAAAGGATAAAGGGGTAAGTATAATCATACACCCGTATGGGCCTCGACAAGCGTATTATTGGTATACACTTGATGTCTGGGAATGCTGTGCGGTTCAATAAGTGAATTCAAGTTCAAAACCGATCCTTCTATGCGGATCAATAGGAGTCGATAATGTTTTAAAAATAGTCATAAAATGCTCCCAAACACCTGTATGGGCCCCGACGATCGTATTATGAGTAAACACGCAACGTCTAGGGATATTATATGGATCAATAAGTAAATTCAAGTTTGAATCCGATCCTTCTATGTGGATCAATTGGAGTCGATAGAGTTCAAACCATTAAATAAATATACGGTTGTGACGACCGATATATTTATTTTATTACATTCATATTAGGCCTTTAAAGCCTATAATAATATGAATTCACTATTAAAAAGCATAAAACCTATGAAACCTAATCCCCTATCAATAAGTTGGTAGGGTCGACAAGGTTAAAGCTTCAAATGGAAATAACCCCAAATACCCCGGTGATGGCTGTGTTGAACAATAAATCTTAATCGGAGGGGTCTATTCCAAATATTCAAAGTTTCATCCAAATAACTATGAAAATCCAAAACTTTAGAAAATCATCCAAGTCCAAAATATTTAAAATTGAATCCAAACTATTAAACACCAAAATAAAAATCCATCCACCCTCCACAACATTTGTCGAGGTGGACAAATTCAAATATAACTTTAGCTCACATAGAGCCAAATGTCTAGTCAAAAATATCACTAAGATGCATTCTCAAATAATCTCCTACTAGTAAGGACGTGGTACGTGTCCTCTAACCAAAAATTTGCTGCCAATTGGCACCTCAGGATAAACGGTTATGACCCGAGGCCCTCTGAACCGAGTGGTTTTGCCACCAAATGGCACCATGAAATATCGGTTATGGCTAGAGCCAATACGCTCCTTAGTGGCATTAAATCAATGAGATATGAATCAATAGGATATGATTAATAAGGCATAAAGCCCTCTGTTAGCTAAGGTGTATTCAAATTTATCCCCTTAGATAAATATTAACCCGAGGTCTACATGGTCCCCTTGGACGAAGCAACCCATGGCTGCTGACAAGGATCCTTCTGTCAGGTTGGTTTGATTACCTCCTCCGACTAAGTAGACCAGGGACCACGATGACCCTGGACGACAGAACCATGAGATCTTGATAGGGTCTATCATGCATTCCCCCACCATTTGCTTTAAGTGCAAGATGGTAAAAATTTCTATTTTAAGTATCAAACCTTCAAACTCTTTAAATTTTTAAATCCTTATGCCCATGTTGCTACTATATGACAGATAACACGTATCTATAGGTATTTGATTGATGGATAGCCTTAATCAAAAGTTCTCTCTCATTACCAGGAGTGGTAATTAACTATAGGGGCTTGCACTTACAGGAAACAAGAATTCAGATCATAAAGTCCTCACAAAATGAGGGTGAAATCTCTGGGTATTGTCTTATCCACAAACCCATCTGCCATCCAAAATTTTTCCTGAAACTTAATCCACTAAAAATCCCTTGCTGAAGAAAAAGTAAAAATAGTATGGGCGGAGGCCGGAGGCTGGGTCTAAATTGAAAGTTCGTTAGGGATGTTAAGCCCTATAGAACTGGCCCAAGCTGTTGCAAATCTACTTTCATGACTTATGTTTTGATGATTGACAAATACTATTGATTCTCTTGGACTACATGTTGCTTCTAACTTTTTAGAAATCGAAGATTGGACGAACAAACGAAGCCAGTTCAAGATTGCGTAGGTTTAGGGTTGAGTCAGTCTGTACTTTGGTTTTCTCTTCTTGAGTCTATTTGTAATGGTCAAAGAGACTGATGCTAAGTAACCATACACACACACTTGAGAGAATTAGAATTTCTATTTTTACTCATATCGGCCAGGACGATATTTACATCATCTTGGATGATCAGGCTTAAAATAGAAAGTCTAAATAAGAATTCTTAATTAAGGCAGCCGTCATTAATAGATCGGCCTGGATGATACATGTATCAGCCAGGATGATAAGCTCAAAATAGAAAGAAGTTGCCGCCATAGAAAATTAAGGTATACTATATTTTTAATTAATCGGCCAGGACGATTATTGATCGGCCTGGACGATATTCATAAATTATGCCTTAATTGATCAGGAAATCAAGGGAGTAATTAAGGATGATTGATACGATCATATCATCCTGGACGATCGCAGGATCGGCCAGGATGATCTATTCAAAAAACCTTAGTTACTTCAGGACGATAAATATCAGCCAGCTCAAATTCAGGGCGATGCTCTGGACGATTTTCCTCTGATTTGAATTGATTGGCCGGGACGATCGTAAGATCGGCCTGGATGATCAAGCCAATTTTCAATCATCCAGTTTG